ATGGAGTGAGTGTTGTTGAAGCAAAGAAGCACCTGTACACTTTAGATTTTTGTTTATTTATTTAATTTTATTAATTTTACAAATATTTTCATACATGACATTTTTGTTTGCAAAAAAACAACAACATTTGGCTCCCTGAGACTGTGACTTCTCTCCTCCCGAATGATGGTTTTCAAACCTAATCTTTGTATACTGGATTTTCCTCTATTTCTTATTTCTGTTAAATCATAACCTTATATACAGTAATACTTACTTACCGTAACTACAATACATAATAAGTGATAAAATTAACCTTACAAAACTTTCAATAAGCCTGCTAGCGTTGTTAATTGTTTACAGTTGTATTTCAAATATAACAAATTTATTCCAATTTTTCAGAAAAACATGATCCTGCTGGTTCCGGATTTTTCCCATCAGTTTCGCCAGTTTGGCATAGTCCAGTAATTTCATCTGCCACTCTTCTTTTGTTGATAGATCCCCCTGCTCCCATCTTTGGGCTAATAACATTCTCGCTGCAGTTATTGCATATAAAAACAATGTTTTGTCCTGCTTGTGTATTTCTCTACCTACAATACCTAATAAGAAATCTTCTGGGGTTGTTTTTTTTTAATAAACATATATTTCAACATTTTTTTAAAGTTCATCATTTATCATTTCCCAGAAAGCTTTCACCTCTTTACAAACCCACCACATATAACAAAGGTACCCTCTTATTCTTTACATTTCCAACATAAATTATTTATTCTATACATTTTTGCTAATTTCACTGGTGTTAGGTACCATCTGTACATCATTTTCATTTCATTTTCTTTATGCAAGCTGCAAGCAGTAAAATTTATTCCATCTTTCCACAATCTTTCCCAATCTTTTAACTGTATATTATGACCAATATCTTTTGCCCAATGTATCATTACTGATTTTACTTCTTCATCTTTCGTATGCCATTCCAAAAGTAACATACATTTTTGACAATATTTTTACTTTATTACTTAATAAATCCATTTCAAACCTAGATCTTGTAAATTCAAATCAGTTTTTCTTTTTATCTTCTTTAAAGACTTCATTTATTTGCCAATAATGCAACTGATCATTTACTAAATTTTTTATCTCCTCATAAGGTTTCAGTTTCCACTGATTCTTCATCTCTATCACCAAATCTCCACAGGTGGCCCACTTTTCTTCCATGTTTGACTTTTTCACAGTTGTCGCCTTTAGCAGCAACAGCCACCAAGGTGCTTTCCTTTCTAATAAACTCTTATATCTATTCCACACCTCATAGATTGGTTTTCAAATTATGTGGTTCAGAAAACCTTTATGAACTTTTACCTTCTCATACCATAAATATGCGTGCCATCCAAATCTATTATCAAACCCTTCCAATCTAGTAGATATGTATTTTCTAACAATATGCAGTCCCTTAACCAGCATAGGCAAGAAGCTTCATAATACAATTTTAAATCTGGTAGGGAAAAGCCTCCTCTCTCTTTAACATCTGTAAGTAATTTTAATTTCAATTTAGGTTCCCCCCCCTGGCCCAATAAATTTCGTTATTGCTTTTTGCCACTCTTTAAAGTTACAAACACCTTTTATAATTGGGATTTACTGAAATAAAAATAACATTTTGGGTAGCACATTCATTTTAATTGCTGATATTCTACCCCATAGAGATAGTTACATCCTTCCCCACACTTCGAAGTCTCTTTTAATACCATTCCATACCGGTGTGTAGTTATCTTTAAACAAACACTTTAGATTCCTCTTTAACTCATCTTCCCAGTTTTGTGGTCAGGCCATGAAACTTTGGGGTTTTACTGAGTCTGCTAATACCGAATCTTACTAGTTTTAAAAAATCTTTCTGATCTAACCCTTGGCATTAACCCTGCCTTGAGGTTTTGAAATACATTGGAATTACTGCAAATGTATGGATGGACAAATCTATCTATATCAGTTTCTCATTTTTTGAATCTTCACCATGCCATAATTCCTTGCCAGTTCAAGTATTTTTTTTAAAGACCTTTTGGAAATTCATAAGCAGTTTAGCATTCATTTTTTCCCTAATATTCACATATTTGTAAGCAATGTTGCTTAATATAATTAATCTATATATGTTGTGCTTCATGTATATATGGCTATTTATGAGCACCTTCCCTCAATATGCAACTTTTGCATGGGAAAGTTCAAAGAAGTGGAAATTTTGAAGGACAGGCATGTTTTGGCCTGTGCATTGCTTTAACAATGGCAAACTATGTCGTTTCACATTCAAGTGTGAAGAGGACCAAATTTCTCCCTTGTCTCCTGCAGTGAACCATCCTCTGTCACCTATTTTGAGGAAGAGTAGCACTTTGAAAAGAAATGATCTTTCTTCTTAGCCTTTGTTCCATAACACAGGTAAAGAAGATGCTTCATCTAATCTGAATAGATGGTATAGGACTGAAGAAAGGCTCCAATTTGAATACAAGCAAATTTTCTGACTCGTTCCTCATGCAGCTTCTGTTACTCTCTCAGGCTTTAAGAGCAACTCCTTTCCCATTTGTCAATTACATTTTTAAAATGAGCACTGAAATAAAATGGAGACTAGCTTGAATGCATGAAGAGATGGATGCTACCATCTCCTAGTATCTTACCTCCAGCTAGAATAACGCAGCTCTCCAGTTGTGGGAGACCCCACTTTGATACTATGCTATTAATATAAGCACTGGTTCACCACTTGGGAACATATTCCCCAGATAATACAGAGTATGCAAAACTTAGAATAATTCCGCTCTGGAGTTAGATGGTAAAGGAGATGGTTTTGGTCAATAAAGCTGAATATTGATATAAATTGCTTGAATTTATTTCTTCTTTAAAATTATGTTTATTCCCTAAGTTTATGACATTTTAAAAAGAAAAATGTGCAAAAATATAGTGTGTCATGTTATTTAGACTGAAATGGTGTGTCTTTTTAAATAAATCCTTAACAGTGATAATTTCTGTTTTCTCACCTCAGTTGTAGAAAGATAAATTTTCTTTCTTTTCAGTTGCCCATGGGGTTAAAAACTAGCTCTGTGCACAGTACTCATAATTTGGCCCAGGCCCAATTTGACAATCCTGATTTTTTAAACCATTGTTTTAGAAACCGCTTTGAGGGTTTAGAATCCGTTGTTTTTCATTTTTTACTTTGAAACATTAATAATAATAATAATATTAAAAAAACAACTTTTATTTATATCCTTCCCTCTCTGGCCGAGACTGGGCTCAGGGCAAGTAAAGGTAAAGGTAAAGGTAAAGGTACCCCTGCCCGTACGGGCCAGTTGTGTCCGACTCTAGGGTTGCGTGCTCATCTCGCTCTAGAGGCCGTGAGCCGGCGCCGTCCGAAGACACTTCTGGGTCACGTGGCCAGCGTGACGAAGCTGCAGCTGCCGAGCCAGCACCAGCACAGCACAGGGCAGCTAACATCAAATATATAACATTGGTATAAAATCAAACAATGAATACATTACCTCCAAAAACAAGTCTGGATCAAATTAAAATCTAATTTGATGGCTTTCCACAGGATTAGGGTTGGGAGCCGTAAATGTTCATTACATGCATTTTGTGAAATAAATTCAAGAATCATGATTAGGCTTCAATCTGGCTGAGATAGATCTGAACCCAAGCCAACCTTGGCCCTAAATTTAATCAGGAGTTCTATAAAGGCCGTAATTACAAAGATAGCAGTTTAAGCTCTAATTGAACCTGTGGCCAGTGTGTCTTCCTGCCCGACCGGAGAAGTTGTAATCAGGGTTATACAACTCAATGTGGTTGGTGACCTTGTCTCATTCCCCCTCCTAGCCCAGGTTCAACCAGGGTATTAAGCCCTAATGAAACATGTGGTTGGAATAAGTAGTGGGGAAGAGGGAGACAATGGAGGTGGGATTGTCTGACTACATCATCTCCTTCCCACTCTCCTCACCACCTGACTTCCTCTCCATTTTGACAAACACTGGATTGCTCCAGGTGGGACCGACCTTTGAATGTTATAATGAAAAGCCACTCCGTACAGAGTACAAGGAGGGTTCTGACATGTACAGTGAAAAATGGGTTGAGTAAGTATGTCCAAGGATTGTGGTTGGATGAATGATTGTAAGAGACTAGGGTGGGAGGAGTTGGATGGGTAATGGATGAATGGTTAAAATCTTAGGTTCCCCCCTCCCTACCAGAGAAGGAGAGCTCTAAAGATTTCTTGCACCCTACCTGGACAGTTTCAAAGGCTATGTGTGGCTATGCTTGATGGCTAATGCTTGATGGCTATGCTCTGCCTCCATAGTTACAATCATATTGACTGATCGTTATAGACCCCATGGTGCCAACTGGGATATGGTGGGTCTGTCAGAGGAGGAGACAGAGCATTCAGAAGTTGGGATTTGGGACAGATGAAGAACAGACCTGGGAGAGGGTTCTACCCCTTTGCTCCCAGATATCACAGAAAGGGAGGGGATCCTCCTCTGTCAGTCTCTTCCCCACTTTCTGGGACTGAAGTTCCCACGACAGCCAAGGACATGGCTGGCCAGTCAGTTCACCCTGATGACAGTTCTAGTCCACTAAATACCTGGAGGGCAAGACATTGACTACCCCTGGTCTAATAGATATCGACCCTTAGAATACAAATCACTGCCTACAGATTTTTTGAGTATTTAAATATTTATTCAGGTACAAATACTGAAACAGTGGACTGGCAAACTGTATTACAGAATGGTATTTTGTTAATTAAAACTAATACCAAACTACCCATAATGTTCGAGGTTTGGATTGACATTCCTTGTATTTTGAAGACTGAAAATGACCTTCATTGGTGGACATGATCAGGATTGGAACCAGAGGGTATGGGAGACGTGGGGTACCCTTATCTTCTATACCATGGTCCCAACCCTAAATCATATTCAAGTTTATTTCTCATGCCAAATAGCTGTCACAGCTTAAACAACTACATTCTCAATCAGGACTTGCTTGCTAATTGACAAAAATGTCAAAGTGCCTTCTCTTCACAGTTTCTGAGAACAGAATGAGTGCACTAGTAATTTCTTTATGGCTATTCTAACCTCCCTGTTTCTTAAGGTATAAATCACAGGGTTCAGTAGAGGGGTTAGAAAGACATAAGTCACTGAGATCAATGTGTCCTGATCTAGCGATGAGGAAGACTTGGGTCTCAAATACACAAAGGATGCACACCCAAAGTGTGTTATCACCACTGTGAGGTGGGAGGCACATGTGGAGAAGGCTTTCTGCCTTCCTACACTGGAGGGGATCCTTAGGATGGCAGAAATGATGTAAAGGTATGAGACAAACATCACCATGACTGTGCCCAGCAAAACAATGGCACACAAAATAATGATTGCAATATTAGTCAGGTGCAAGACCGATTCATCAATGCAAGCCAGCCTAAGCACAGGTAGGAAATCACAAAAGAAATGCCTGATTCCGTTTGACCCACAGAAGGGTAACCTGAAAATGAGAGTATTAATGCTCAGTGCTATGATACATCCAGTTACACATGAAGCAGCTACCATTTGGGTACAAATTCTTTTGTTCATCAGCACCTGGTACTGAAGTGGGCAGCATATAGCCACATATCGGTCATAAGCCATAGCAGCAAGCAGGAAACAGTTGTTCGCTCCAAATACAGAAATGAAAAACATCTGCACGGCACACTCATCAAAGGAAATGGATTGACTGCCTGTCACCAGGGTCACCAACAACTTAGGGATGGTGATAAATGTAGTGCAGGTTTCTGATGCGGAGAATGCAAAGAGTAGAAAGTACATGGGGCTGTGTAAAGTCCGGTCAAACAGGATGACAGACATGATGGTGAGGTTGAAGACCAGGATAGTGCCATATATAAGAGAGAAACCTAGGAAAAGTAGAGTTGGTTTCTTTCCAAAGACAGAAAAGCCCAGCAAGAGAAATTCAGTCACTGAGCTGTCATTTCCCTTATTCATGTTACCAATAATGTTATCTGACCTGAAAGGAAAAAGGAAGTGAAGTCTTATTAGTTTTAAAAAATCTTTCTGATCTAGCTCTTGGCATTAACCCTGTCTTGATGTTTTGAAATACATTGGAATGATTGCAAATGTATTGCTGGAGAAATTTATCCATTTAATTTCTCTAAGGTTCTCATTTCCCCTTTTTGCAATATTCCATATTACCATGCCTGTTTGAATATTTTAAAAAAGTCCTTTTGGAAATTTATCTGCAGATTCGTGGGCATTTTTTCCTAACATGCATATTTTGGCAAACGATGTTGCTTAATATAATTAATCTATGTATATTTCTCTCTCTCTCTCTCTCTCTCTCTCCCCCCTCTCTCTGTGCATGGTTATGAACATTTCCCCTTAATATGCACATATGAAGAACTGCATTGCAAAATATAAAGAAGTGCAAATTTTGAAGGACAGATGTGTCTTGGTCTGTGCATTGTTTTAGGAACAGCAAACTAGGTCATTTCACATTAAAATGAGAACAGAATCAAAAATCCCCCCCCACTGCAATGAACCACCCCCTACCACATATTTTTAGGCAGAGTAGCACTTTGAAAACAAATGATCTCTGCCTTTGTTACATAACACAGGTGAGCAAGATGCTTAATCTAACCCTAATAGATGGTGTAGGACTGAATACAGTTTACTGAATCATTCTTTATACAGCTTCTGTTTCTCTCTCATGCTTTAAAGGCAATTCCTTTTCAGTTTGTCAATAACATTTTTAAAATGAGCTCTGAAACTAAGATGGAGACTAGCAGGGATGGATGCATACATGAATGAATGAATGAATGAATGAATGAATGAATGAAGCAAGCTATGCTACTATCTTCAAGTATCTTACCTCTGGCTAGAAGCAATCAGCACTGCAGCTGTGAGTTACCGCAATTTGATTTTATCTTATTAATTCAAGGACTGGTTCATCACTTGGGAACACATTCCCCTGATAATGTTGGCTATGCAAAACATAAATAAAACAATTAATCTTTGGAGGTAGATGGTAGAGGTGAAGGGTTTTGCCAATAAAGCTGAGTATTAATTTGAATTGTTTGAATTTATTAGCTATGCAAAATTATGCTTGTTCCATAGTATTTTGATATTTTTAAAAGAAAAAGGGGGGAACTATAGTATCTTCATGTATTCATGTTAACGTTTTCATAGTTCCTAAATAGTAATTATTATTTTCTTACCTAAGATCTATATATCTAACCCGTCTCTCTTCCTTGAATGAAACTTTCCAAGGATAAGAGCTATATGTGGTATTGTAAATTCAACTGTTCATACTGTTTTTATTTTTAGTCTGTCCTTCTGCAATTCAAATGTCATCAATCACTTTTTCTGTGACACCCCTCCCATTCTGAAATTGTCCTGTTCAGACACTCATACAATTGACATTCTGCACTTCATCCTGTCCACTATAATTGCCTTGACTACATTTGTGATTATCTTAGTGTCCTATATGTACATTCTCTTAGCCATCTTGAAGATCCGCTCTCCCCAGGGTCAGCAGAAAGCTTTCTCCACCTGTGCTTCACACCTGACAGCCGTCGCCATCTTTTATGGAACCATTATCTTCATGTATTTAAGGCCAAGCTCCAGTTTCTCAATGGACCAAGACAAAATTGTCTCTTTGTTTTACACTCTTGTGATCCCTATGCTTAACCCATTGATCTACAGCCTGAGGAACAAGGATGTGAAAGATGCCTTTGCAAGGGTGACAAACAAAATGGCACGATCCCATTCTACATTATATATTTTTTAAAGTAACTGTGTTGACTGGAAATAAATTAGCAGCAGGCATCTGACTTGCACTATTATTCTGTGTGCACAGCATGTGAAATATCTAATATCTAGAACTTGCTTATGTATGCATTTATCATGTTATACCTAAATGGAGAATTAAATGTGTATTTCTGCAATGCCTTACATTGGCAGAGAGAAAAAAGTACCCTGATTCTATACAGACCGCCTATATCCAAACAAAACAATCTGTGATGCTAACTTAATCCTACAGGATCCTTTACAAAAGAGAGCCTTCTTTCACAAGATGGAAACCATACAAATCCTAGGTAAAGGTTGTGCCAATGAATCCTACTTCTCCAGAATGAGAGGCTACTCTCTTTCTCTGGAATCAACCTGGTAGCAGCAGCTTGTCTCTCTAGAGACCAAAATATATTTATGGCAATCCTCCATTCAGAAGGAATATATTGGAACTCCTGGATATTTCCCCTCTGCTGTAAGAGCTATAATGGAATTCACATTACAGTCAGTGGGAAACCTAATATGCTGTGTACTCTCTGTGATTCTGTACAAATGCAGGCTGTAGGATGCTGCCTTATATAAGGTGAGGCAGTTTCTTTCATCCATTTTTATTATTTGTTTGTTTGTTTGTTTATTTATTTAGTTCTATACCGCTCCTCATCTGAGATTCACAGGGCAGTTTATAATACACTAACGCAAAAATGCATAATATAATAACATACCAAAACAATGACACCCCACAGCATTGCTTACAGTATTCCACTGTGCGAAGCACATGGCTGCCACATCAGCTGCAAACATATCCTTCTAAATGAAGATGCCAAAGATTGAGCCTGGGACCTTCTATGCCTCAGGGGTTTTATTCAGAAGAAATGTTCTGAGCTGTTTCCATATTTTTCATGGGGGGCGTGGCGTGGAGAGTTGGTGTGCGTGTGTGTGTGTGTCCCCCCCCCCGCACATCACTCTGAGCTCCCTCAGCACTACTCAGTATGCCATTCATACAGCTGTCCTCAGGTGCTTCTTAATGACTGCCATCTTTATTTTAATGGCTTGTTCTATGGAAGATATCGTTGTGATCTAGCAGAAAGGTAGGTTAGCTAAACCTGTCAACCAGTCAAATTTTCCACTGTTCATATCTCAGGGATTCTGTCCATAATAAGGAAAAGACAAAGGTTTCATCTGACACCCATTTCCCTTAGTGATGTGGTGATGGAGGCGTGGCCAACAGCTGTGGTCCTACTCTCCTGTTCCGTGTGATCACAATCCTATGGAACAATGTTCTTCAACTACGGCTCTCCAGAATTTGCACTCCCATTGTTCTCAGCCTGTTTAGCAAATGGTCAGGGATGATGAGAGTTGCAGTCCAACAACATCTGGGGACCCAAGGTTGAAGGGCACTGGTGCGGAGGAGAGCACTTGAAAAGGACTTAATCTGAGATTCTGATAGAGGCATGTCCAACTTCAGATAGGTTGTGATCTACTACTCAGTATCAAAAAATGGCAGTGATCTACCATTGTCCTTCTTCAACTTAAACATACTCTCCCCGCCCCCTCTCTTAACATGTGTGTTTTAAGCTGTGTTTCTTTTAGACCTCCTCAGGGCCAAACTGGTCTGTCTGATGGTATCTCCCGCCCGCCCCACCCCAGGTCACTGGCCGGGTTAGTGGAGTGCGCTGCGGAGCTCTCACCGGGCGCTGCTTCTCCTCCGGGTGTTAGCTGGGCTAGAGAAAGAAGCTCTGAAGTAGGCCAGTGACGTCTGTGTTGTCTGCTCAGGGGAGCAGCGGCACCATCCAAACCAGCCAAATACAGGGCCAATTAACACTCAAATTGGAGGGGCGAGGAGAGCGTGCTGGGGGGTGCTTATGTGGAAGGAGGTGGCTAACTGGACGCGGGAAGGGGGAGTTTAAAGCAGCACTCTCTCTCTCCCCCCTCAAGCCCCCACCACAGCAGCAACACACACAACATGCCAGCAGGATGGTTGCTTGGTCCCACCCCGCTGCCGCCGCCACCATCACTTTTCCGGGCCAATAGCGACAAGGGGCAGTGGAGACACATTGCTGCCAAGCGCAATGTTGCTGGGACCAAGCACAGGGGACTGGCTCTGGGGAGGTCCTCTGACAGCACCTTCCAGCAGCGTCAGGGTTTCCCAGACCGGGAGAAAGGGGCTTCGGATGACAAAAGTGCAGAATGAGTGTGCACAGCTGTCTCCTGGGGGCAGAAGGATCTGAACCAAAGAGAAGTGGCCATGCCAATGTCCTACTAGCAAACCCTCCGCTGCTTAGGAAGACGTGTTTGCCTCCTGTGATGTTCCTTTGGAATCCTTTCCATCTCACTAATTCGTCGCTTGCTTATAATGCGCCCTGATCTGTTGCCCGCTTTGCAACTCGCTGGCAGGGGACGGAAAGTTCCAACATTAAACTGTTTTGCTCCATCAATTGCCTCTTTCGTGGGACGGGGCTGGGGGTGCTGAACCCTCCAGTCTCTCCCTCAGTGAGGAGACCCTCCAAAATCAGCAAGTCTCCAAAGGGAAAACTGACATCGGGCAACATCTTGACGTTGTTCCACCGTCCACCGCTGCCGCCTGCCCATTGCCAGCCCTCGATTTGTCCTCGCTCAGCAAGAGCCTCTTTCGCAAAGCTCTGTGTATCCACCCGGGGTTTTCGTGGGGGGGGGGGAGGCTTCACTGCTTCTCTCTCTCTCTCTCTCTCTCTCTCTCTCTCTCTCTCTCTCTCTCTCTCCTCTCCCTCTCCTCTCCCTCTCCCTCTCCCTCTCCCTCTCCCTCTCCCTCTCCCTCCGTGAAGGCAACATTCCCCTCCCCACTACTTGCGCTCTATTCCCCAAGAGAGCAGCAGGAAGGATGGTAAGCCGGCTTCGGAGGAAGGAGGCTGGAGAGAGGAGTAGTACAGAAACAAGCCCAGGATCGACTGGGGTCTCAGGATTGACGCGTTGTGCACCCGAGTGATAGAAGAGGGATATTAATCTCTCCCATAGATGTGCCAAGTATTTCCATCACTTACGTGTTAAAAAGTAAACTCTGTGTTGCACATTAATGTAGTTTTTCATTCTCTCTCTGATGGAAGACAGATATCTGAATCCTCCGTGTTTCAGTAAATTTAATAACCACTGGTCAGTAAAACTTACATCTTATTTGCATATAGCGAAAGGTAACTCACATCTTACACTTCTTTTACTTATGCAAG